GTGTGTGTGTGTGTGTGTTGCAGGTTGGAGACAGATCCCAGTAAAACGAATTACTCTCATGTGGCCTCCTGGGCTGATAAGTACCTGGACAGTGGAGTCTCGCTGCCGATGGACACGGCTGAGAGCTTAGGCAGTGATTATGAAAGCGACGACAGCCGAGGCTCGGTGGAAACGGTGCATCACAGTTACTCATGTGTTCCGTCTGACGTGGAGGTCAGAACGCACATTAACAGGTCACATAGTGTCAATAAGCTGGTGAGCTTATAATCAGTATTGTCTTCGTGTGTCACAGATCTCAGAAGTCAAATCTGAAGCTGCAGTGTCAGTGGCTCCCAGCAGGGCGAGCTCCATCGCATCGTCCCTACGAAGACGTTTGTCTGCGTTTTCCACGAAGGTAAAATGATTTGACCTTTTTAATGTCTTAAGATCTTCCCCGTTTAGTATTGATTTAGTTATTTGTGCTCAATAGTCAATTGCTTTAACACAACCCCATTTGAAATGTAAGCAAGTGAATAATGTCAAATGGTATAAAGATAATTAGTTAACTGCAAGAAAACATTAATGTGACCGAAGACTGAAAATGTATATAAGGATCAGGCCTTCAGGGATTGAACTTTTCAGCAGTATTTCAATCCATTACTACAAACATGTTCTAAAACTGACTGGTAGTGAGTAGATATGTCTGTAAACCACACATTTACAGTGAGCTTTACTGGTTTTAGATAAAGTGTTACTAGTTCGGTGTTAACTCATGGTCCATGCACCAGCTTTTGATGGGGCTTTCAAATGCTTCTCATGGTCTTCATCAGTGGATCAGCAATTGTCATCATATGACCTGGCTCTAGAAAAGCCACAGCCACTACCAGTATATCAAGAAATGTATTTATTAGATTAAGTATCACCTTTACGTTCAGCTAAATTAATACATAATGTTTTTGATTTCAAAATAAGAATAATAAATGAGAATTTTAAGACTTTCCACATAAATAATGAAGTCACTTCTGTTCATTCCCTCAGCCATTAATAGCCGACATAGAAGAAACTGAGGAACCCACTCCCATGTACCGTCTGGTTTTAGCAGGAGATGCCGGTGCAGGAAAGTCCAGCTTCATGCTGAGACTGACGCTCAACGAGTTCAGAGGAGACATTCAGACAACGCTGGGTGGGTGCACAGAAAACACATGTAATAATCCTCTGACACATTCTTTATTTCAGACATTTGAATGTGCTTTTTGCTTTGTAGGAGTTGATTTCCAGATAAAGAGGATGTTAGTGGACGGAGAGAAGACGAGTCTGCAGATATGGGACACTGCTGGGCAGGAGAGGTACTGCACCAACGTTCCTATAGGAAGTAACAGCAAGAAATAAAACCAGTCAACAAATAACTTGACTAAAAATAAGTTTGTATTTCTTCTTACTTTAGGTTCCGCAGTATCGCCAGATCTTATTTCCGTAAAGCTCACGGCGTCCTGCTGCTCTATGATGTGACTTCAGAAAGCAGCTTCCTTAACATCCGGGCGTGGGTGGATGAGATTCAGGTAACTGCGGAAATGCTGTCTGACACACAGATGAATGAAAGACACAAAAAAAGCAGGAATATATTTTACTGGGTTCTTTGTTTTTAAATACAGGAGTTGACGGATGAGAAAATCCCCATGTGTGTTATTGGAAACAAGGTGGACCTCCGAGAGCAGCTCGCTGAGGGGAGATGTGTGAGCAGTTTACATGGAGAGAAGTTGGCCAAGGTGAGAAACTTTTGTTATGCCTAATGAAAAAAAAGATTTACACAGATGCCCTGCCCTCCCAGGGGTATAAATAAACTGACTTCACTCAGGTATGTTGATGCTGTGCTCACAGGCATATGGCGCCTTGTTCTGCGAAACCAGCGCCAAAGAGGGGACCAATGTCGTCGAGGCGGTGCTTCATCTCGCGAGGTAGGAGGCTGGAGACAGTGACTTAGAGTTTAGTGTTTTAACTTCACAAACACTGACATCTCTTTTTTTTCTTTATTTTCACAGAGAAGTAAAGAAAAATGTCAAACTAAGGCGTGAGTCGGATTCAGAGGTCAGACTAAGTCAATCCAACCCGAAGAAGACTCTGAACAGCTGCTGTAAACTGTAGATGTTTCATGTTGGACGATGCAACGGAGCAAGTTTTAAATTTTCCAATGAAGAACCTAAAATGTTTTAATCTTAAAAATATTTCAAACTCAAGTCTTAGATTTATTTTCATTTATTTAAATTCTCTAATCGGGATGAAGGTTTCTGCACATGTACAGATAAACGCACATACGATAATAATGCTTCTTTGTGTTTAAGGTTTTGTACTTATTTGTTCGTGATTTTATGATAAATAAATAAGGAATATCGAGGCCTCAGTTCAGATTCAATCTAAATAATTTTAATGGATTAGCCGAGAGAAACAATCTGCAAAGACTCTGAAGTTTATGCACCTTTTTCGCTTTCAGATCAAACTTATGTCACAGGTTCTTGAAAAAATGAGGGCAGACCAAACAGGTTTTTTGAAACACTTTATTTTAGGCCTCAGTGTAACGATATTACAGTGCAGCGGTACTGATTGAAGGATATTTTCACAGATTTGTGGTGTTGAAAGTGTTATTTGTTTACTAAAACTACTTTTTGTCATTTGGTTACAGACTTTACAAAAGTTCCACTGATTTTATATTTTTATTATTTTTTTATTTGAGTATCTGTGATACAAGAACATGTTCCAGGACCCATTTTTATGATGGTTGATTGAATGCGATCCCATTTCAAAATAAAATATATATAAAACTCTGCTGCTATTGTGAATTCACTCAGTGCTGAACTATTCTCTTTCTCATAAATATATCAGATTTTCAGTGACATTAAGACAAAGACACGCAGATAAACACACATTTGCTTCTCATGTGCTCAGAGAAAACTCTTCACACTTGACTGGAGAGGACACCAAACTCTACTCCCTCAGATAACAGTGTTAAAGATGATGACGGGGGTGGTGGTGATGAAGATTATCAAAGTGCTATGATTAGCAGATTTCAGTGTCTTGCAGTTAGAATCACTGACGTCACTAAGCTCCCCAAGGCCACCACCAGAGCTCCGATGATAAACTTCCAGGAAATTCCCTAAAACGAAGACAGAGTCAAGAAACAGGTCCAGTATTTCAAATAATAAAATGCACAGTTCTTTTTGTATTTGTGATTTGACTTACAGATGGTTTCTTCTTAGAGGGAATCAGAAAAGGTGTGATATTCTCTCCAAGCAGCTCTGCAGGTTTGGGTTTCCACTCCTGGGTGTCTTTGCCTCCTGATTGTCTTTTGACGAGTTTAGATAACTCCAAGTGAATCGCCTGAAGGAAACGAGAACATCAAAAAAATGAAATGTATGCAGTTAAAAAAAAAAAAGTCTGCTTTTTGTTGATCTTATGTTGACAAAGAGATGTGGAGCCTTCCTTTTTGGGGAAAGGTGAATTTGCAGTTTTAAAAATGTCCAGCAGGTGAGGGCAGAGGTCTGAATTACTCAACAGAAGAAGCCAAGAAATCATAAAAACTTTTTTTCACTTTTGTCACCTCTTCAAAAAGCTGTTATTAGATTATATAATCTGATGACGATTTTGAGTGTATACACACTTTGAGTGTTAACACTCAAAATTGTCATAAAAGCTCATAACTAGATGTGCTCGGCCTGTTTTGTGACTGCAGTATGATAACTTTCTCACAGGGTGGTTAAATCAGGTTTCTTCCGAGTATTTTATCCAGCTTTGAGACAAGGGTGTAATTTCCAAAGCAGCATATATTTTCGTTTTGTCTAGACGAGACCAGACGTACTATTTGTGGCAGTGTGCCCTGTAGGTCAGGTCACTGTTGTACTGGAAGCAGTGTTTGGTAAACAGCTGATAGAGATGTGCTATTCACACTTTTTACAGAGATCCAGGCTGCAGGGTGTCAAACAAGTGAAGTGGAACAATGTTCGTCAGGTGATGTTATAGTTGCAAGGAGTGGTTATGTTAATTATAGTGTCGAGAGTCTACGCTGGAGCTGGAAAGGTCAACTCAGTCTCCGGCTTTGACTTGCATGGCTCCAGAATGACACTGCTTGACTTGCATATGTATTATTTCTACCAGGTTTGCTGGGCAGCTCTGAGCCGTGCGGTCACATCTGGAGACTGCCAGATGTGCAGTTCAGCCAGATCCTCTGTGGAGGATTTGGCAGATTAGACAAAACCACACAAACAAGACAGAACAGGCTGACAGAGGAGCAGAAAGTAGTTCACTGGGTTTCCCGCAACTGTTTTCTGTTGACGAAGAAAGATGCAATAAAAACAAGTTGTGAGATGGAGAGGGTGTGGATGGAGATGGGGCGAAGTGTGAAGATTATGAACGAGGTGGAATCACTTCAGCATGGTTCCAGATGGAAGATGGGACATCAGTGATGAGTTTGCAATGTCTGAAACATTTCTGATGCTTGGATTAAGAGGAGAAAAATAAAATAACCTTATACATGCAGATTATGTGCAGTGTGTTCAGAACATATTCACACCCCTTCATTTGTTTCTCATTTTGTTATGTTGCAGCCTTATGCTACAATCAATTTTCAATTTCAATCTCACCAAACCACAATCAATTACACAATGACGAAGACGAATTTTAAAAAGGTTTTGCATATTTAGAAAAAAAGAAGAATTGAAACATCATAAATATCAATCGCCGTACACTTAGATATTTCACCTAAGGTATTATACTGAATTTCCCCTGATTGTCTTTGAGTTTTTAGTACATTATTTAAATGTCTTGTAATTACACGTTTCCAACATTTGCATAATAATGAAGAGCAAAGAAAAGAGTGTTGGAGATGGACATGTAGTTTGCAAGTGACAATTTGACAAGTTCATATTAGTGTCATGGGGGTGCCCGTATGATTAAAAATAAAAGCCTCAGGTGACTGTAGTTTAAACAGAGTAATATTAGCCGTCTGGATATTATTTTTTGCGTAGGTTTCAATTTCATTTCTTTAATTTCTTTATTCTTTTCATTTATTTTACCAGTTGTGTTTGTACGTCATGGTTGACAAAGGATCATGGCTTTAATATCAGACAGATCAGCGATGCCTATAGGACACGGGGCGTGGGGGAAGATTATGTAGGGACACCTCTCTGTCCACTGCCGGTCCTGTAAGGAAGTGAAGCGCGGTGTGGGCGCAGCAGGTGTGGACCACGTGCTTGCTGCGGTAAGTGATAGAGTTTTATTAACTCAAAGTCACTATCACGTCATTTGAAATCACACAGAAAACGTTGCTTAAACATGAAGCGTGTGTGTGTGTGTGTGTGTGTGTGTGTGTGTGTGTGTGTGTGTGTGTGTGTGTGTGTGTGTGTGTGTGTGTGTGTGTGTGTGTGTGTGTGTCAGATAACTATCATTGTTTAAAGTCTGGAACTAATTTTCCAGATTTTTCCCACAGCACGAAAAAACACAATATGGTAAGAAAAACCAGGCCGTGAGGACCTGCCTCCAGAGCTCATGATTTTGAAATCGTAGAAGTTTGGAACAACCAGGATTCTTCCCTTGAGCCTAACTCCTGGCTGAGCTCCAGAGATCCTGCAGCACTACAATGATATTGGCAGAAGACACATGAAAGCACCCAAAGTTCTCTCAGACTGTGAGAAACCAGATTTTCTGCTTTGATAAAACCAAGAATGAACTTTCTGGCCTCAGTTTGAAGCATCCAGCATGAACGGATGTTTGGAGACATGATGCTAGAAGTGGTCGCCCCTTTGGAAGTTTCTTCTGTCACAACGCAGGATCTCTGGAGCTCAGCCAGAGCGACCATGAGACTCACGGTCACCTCTCCTTACAAAGCCTTTCTCCCTTGAATGCTGAGTTTGGGGGAGGGGGGTGGACACCTCAGGGAGAGCCCTGGTTGTTTCAAACTTCCTCCATTTAAACATTATGGAGGTCATTTTGCTCTTGACAAACTTTTGAATTATTTTGTAGTTATACCCAAACAGTCTGTGCAGGTAAGTCAATTGACTTCATGGATTAGTTTGTGCTCTGATTTGTATCATCAGCTGTGAGACCTTATGGAGTCAGGTGTGTCTCTTCAAACACATGCTGCTGCTCGACTGCTAACTGGTAGTAGGAAGAGGGACAGTATGTCACTTGTTCTTGCATCTCTGCATTGGCTACCGGTTAGATACAGGGTAGATTTGAATGTTTAAGCTCCTCTGCCCCACTTTCCGTCTCCAGATCTGTTAGATCCTCAGACCAAATGCTCCTGGCGGTCCCTAGTTGAGGCTAAGGCCTTTGCTGTAGACACCCCAAAGCTTTTGAAGCAGTTTCTTTTTCACCCTCTGTTGAGACATTTAGACTGAAGACCCTCCCGTTCTCTCGGGCTTTTGACTGCCCATGACAAGTCTTAATTACTCATTCGTTTTTAGCCTGTTTAGTCTGTTTTTTGGCTAAAGGGTTTGAATTGTGGACTCATTCTAAGCTTATTGGGTGGCTCTTGCTATTCTTTAATGTTGTTTTTTACCCTCTCTTATTCTATTGTTATTTTATTGTATTGCACTTGGTTCAAATGTGCTTCATAAATAAACTTGATTTGATAAAGCTAATACTTAACAAATTTCTTTACGATTAAATCAGTCCTTCATTCAACAATTGTTAAATGGATTGCAATGAAATACTGTTCTCCAGTGGACAAACCCCAGTGACAGGTGATTCCATTGTGAACCTGGCATGTCTGGTTTTAAGTGTCTCAACAACTCATATCAAATGCCATGTAATTCAGACCTCAAAGACTCTTTAAACGTTGCGTTTAGCTCCACTAAGTCTTCTCAGGTCAACGCTCTTTTACTTATCGTCTACTTTTTACTATTACATATTAGAAAACAAACATTATGTCAGCCTCTGTTCTTTAATATTGTTGGCTTTAATGATAATTGTGGCCTAACATTAGAAAATCCTTTCCTTTGTGTATATGAGGGACAGATGAAATTCACAGGCAGATGGGACGGGGCTGCTCACCCAAATAATCTCACCTTGGTGGCCGGCTCCAGTTTCAAGGCCTTTTTGAGCACCTCCATCGCCTCTTTGTATTCACTCTTGTCTGACAGAAGCTGAAAGAGATAAAACCAGCAGCGTGAGCAGTGCTGGACGACCCATACATCAAAAGAGACCCTTAAAAATTATTAATTGTAATCTAATATTAAACAAAATCCTCTTCTTTCCAGGAACTCTCCCAACAATAATCATGTTATGGGTTGATAAGAATCGAATGAGATGCTCCATGTTGCTTCTCACCTTTCCCATCCTGAAGAGGGCCTTGACATTGTTTGGTTCAAGGGTCAGAACGTCCCGGCTGGTGTGCAGCGCCTGGTCGTACTGCTCCAGTTTGAGCTGAGCGGTGGCCAGGTTGTTCAAACACTTCACCCGGTAGTCTCGCACCTCCTCCTCCTCTGCCGCCACGCTGCTGTCTGGACCATCTGTACAGAGACACACAGCAGATCATGTATGTTTTGCTGTGGACATGAAAACACAAAAAAACATAAAGAAAGGTCTCGACATCCAAGAGAGGACTTGGACATGTATTCAAGTGTCCATCTCAATACAGTATTGACCCAAGTGAGGAGCATTTTGATTCTTGTCTCTGAGCATGATGGGTAATAATTGTTAGCAGCTCATTCAGACGATATCTGAATGGATGCACATATTTTTTTTTCAGATTTACAGTTGTAAGTTGATTCTACTTTGGATGCCTTCCAAGTTTCAACTGGTATTTATTGTTTTCTGGTCACTTGGGGGC